CAACAATTCATGCTGTAACTTTGATTATAAAACTCATTAATAATTCATGACCTCTTACTCCATTAAGGGCTGTCTATTTGGTCGGGTGATTGACCTTGTAAATCTGATACAACACTAGTGTTGTATCAGATTTACAACATGGTCATCACCATTGAGACAACCTAACACTGGGGTTGAGGTCTCAATGTTAATCTTGCATTTTAGACCTTGATTTAGTTTTTTTTTTGCTTAGCTGATTTAGTTTTTGAAGCAGTCAAAGACAGATAGCATATGCAACAGATGGCTTTGCTTTCAATGTGGGATAAATTATCATACAAAATGTTTTCTGTTGCCAGTAAATTGCTCATGCTTAATAGGGACTAAACACAGCAGTTACCTTTATTTTTCATTTTTCGTCATTTGTCTCACCTGTATTCATGTTAATACTATGGCGTTTCATAAGTTGTTTACAACATTTGTGCCTGTGTTGTACGGGAATTCCCACTCATGTTGTAAACTGTACAAATGTTTTTGTTGATGTTTGTCCTTAACTGCACAACAGATGCCACATTGTACAAAATAAATTATGCACATTGTACATATTAAATTATTCATAATAATTAGCCTCATTGCATACCCTTGTATATATTTGCAAAACCCAGACACTTCAGGTAGCAGCAGGTCTAAAAGATCCTCTCCCTCCACCCCTAAGGACTTAATATGCTGTCCTAGGCATCTCCAGTAGAAGGCAGTTTCACAGTCTAAAGAGTCATAAGGAATACTGACAGGTCCAGACAGGTCAGATTGAAGAATCTTGATTTGATTGTGAAGATCTTCCTTAGGCATTCCTGTAATAATGTTTTGTGATTGAATGAATATAATGCTTATTATATTTATGATTGTTTTGCAAAAACTGTGCACTCTACGTATTACAGTGCAGTYTTTGTCCATACATTTACACTGTCATATTACATAAACATTTATAAAACAGTTTGAAAAGTTTATAAAAAATATGTCAGATCTAACTTTATCCGTACTAATTTTAGATCTTAAATTTTGAGATGTTCACAACAGTAAAAAATCAAAGACAAGCACAAAAAGGGTCTACATGAATGTGGAACTTTTATTTATTAAAATTGACAATTTTTTTAAGTTACAGTTATAATGAAATTGCATTTTAATAAATAAAAGTTCCACATTCATGTAGATCCTTTTTGTGCAATGTACAAACGTACAAGATATATGGCAGGAGCAGAACAWKGKYMMCCMRGRAMMAAA